AATGGCTAAGAGGATCCTGCCTTCTTGTTCCTTACGTTCTTTTGACGATATAGCCATTTTGGTGGTTGATTTCGTTGATCAAAAGCCTCATGTTTTGGTGGAATGCGGAAGTCACGAGTTGGGCGTTCCACTCGCTTGCGCGTTCCGCTCGCTTACCGATTACGTTACATGTATAACTTAGTCAGCAACAAACAAGAGGAGAACCAACCAACCCAGTGAACACAGTTCACATGAACTTTTTTTTGTGTACACGTGGAACGTTCCCGCGGCACGTGATGCCAAGCCCTTTATATAAGCAGGAACGTTCCACACGACCCTATAAATTACTGTTTTTTATTATTGAAATTCAACTTCCTCTTATATTTCTCCAAGTTCATTACACACTTTATTTCAAGCACTTACCAAGTACTTTATAAGTACCTACCAAGTACTTTCTAGACATGGATTTTCATGAAGTTATTGAACTTAGTTCTACGGAAGAGGAATACTCAACCCAGGTAATTTCCTAAGTAGTTATCAAGTACTTAGAAATTAATTTATATCTAGGAACCGTCACCATTAACCTTTCTGACTCAGGCAAAGGCATCACCTTTAACTACTCAGTTTATAGAGTATATTGATGATCTTCCTGAGTATCCAAAAACTGCACTATGTGGATATACATATGTAGTTCCATCACATGGACTTTCAAATACTGAAGTCAGCGCTCTAATTAGTGATGTTAGTATATAACTACTTACCAACCACTTCCGAACTACTTGCTAACTGCTTAGTAGATACAGTATAATAAACGTCAAGCAAGCGGCTTAAAACGAGCAGTCTTTTCACCTTTTCTTCAGTGTCGGGTTAAAAGATGGTCTTGGAAATGTTCTGGTATTCTTCGATGCGAGTTTTTAAGCCAGTCTCTTCTATCCCATCATCATACCTTTGTTGATGAAGACTTTTGGAAGCGTTTTCAAGACACACGCCAAAATGTAGAGATTTCGGAGACGGATACTGCTAAACGGAACGCCTATAGGTAAGTAGTATTAAAGTACTTATCAAATACCTCTAAAACGCTTACTAACTACTTTCTAGCTACTATAGAGCAAAACATAGGTTTTTTCAAAATCAGAAGCCCTGTATAGAAGAACTTCCAACCTGCAGACCTATATTCAAGCGCTCTACCCAGCCGGTACTCATTACTTTCAACTACTTACAAACTACTTCGAAAGCACTTGCTAACTACTTTAGAACTTATATGGAGATCATACACCCTACGTGGCCTGTATTCATGAGACTGGAGGCTTTTTAGAAAAGCATTGGAGAACTGCAATTCAGGGTCATACC